ATAGGTAACAGATCGACCCAACGGAAGAATGCTACCTTGAATAGTTAGAGTGGGATGGAAAGACTAAATAAGGGGTTCTGCTTGGGGAAACTTGTAACCCAACGGTGATGAGTTTACCCAACCGACAAAATCACTTACTTAGTCTGGGCCATCAAGATCATTTTTAGAATTATCGTTCAACCCAACGGAGGAATGATATCCTACATCGATCTTGGGTCAAGACCTGATCAGGATTATGCAAGGGTCTTGATGAGATCTAACTAATGATTACCCCATTTTTAAGTTAGATTATTGATATGTGTGTGTATTTTATGTGGCATGACATTTTGTATGAAACTTGTAGTTATTAATCCAGCAATGGTTACTGGTTATCTGTTAGGCATTGAAATATTAACTGGTACAAACTTTAACAAGTGGAAAGACCAGATTATGATTGTTCTAGGGTGCATGGATTTGGATCTTGCAATTAGAATAAACAAACCCATTGAAATCACTGGTACCAGTACTGGTGAGCAAAAGGCACTTTATGAAAAATGGGAACGTTCTAATCGCATGAGTCTCATGATCATAAGGAGCACCATTTCTACTACAATTTGTGGTGCAACTCCTGAAAAGGAAAGCGCAATGGATTATTTAAAGGCAGTAGAAGAACACTTTGCTGGCTCCACAAAACATTGACAAGTACCCTCATGATCAAAATGATCACAATGAAATATGATGGTCGCAGTGGGGTACGTGAGCACATTATGAAAATGAGTGACATGGTGAACCAACTAAAAGGAATGGATATGGAAATATTCGAAGGTTTCCTTGTGAACTTCATTATGACTTATCTTCCTGTGCAATCTGGTCCATTTAAGATCAACTATAATACGTAGAAAGAGAAATGGAAAATGAGCGAGTTAATTGCCATGTGTGTTCAAGAAGAAGAAAGGCTTAAGAGTGAAATGCCTGAAAGTGCTCACCTAACCACTGGACCACATAAAAGACATTTCAGGAAGAAAACTCAGAGAAAGGGCAAAGAGAAGGTCATTGCTGCTGCGGAAAATGGGGATCATAAAGCCCATTGCTTCTTCTGTAAAAAGAAGGGACACGTAAAGAAAGAATGTCCCAAATATGCGGCATGGCTCAACAAGAAAGGTAAGAATTATGCCTTTATGTTTCCTGAATCCTATTTGGTTAGCGCACCTTCTAATACTTGGTGGGTGGATACGGGCGCTACAACTCATGTCATGGTTTCTCTGTAGGGTTTTCTAACAAATCGACAGCTACATAAGGGAGAACGCACCATAGTCGTTGGAAATGGAATAGAGATAGATGTTGAAACCATAGGAACATATTGTCTCATTTTTTGGATATCGGATTTCATCTAGACTTAGTAGATACACTATATGTACCTACATTTAATATAAATCTTATTTCATTCCTAAACATTTAATGTTGAAACCACAGATGCACAAAACGCTGACTCCTTAATTTATATAACAAAGTGTTCCCCCTTTGTGTGGCAGATTAGTTAACTTAGCTATGCATCCAGGATCCAGCACCTAAACCGTTATAAGGAGGGCAAAATTTTTCGAATGCATACCTAAGGGAACAAAATTGCTCTCAGGTCAATCTAGTCACCAGTGAAATTTTTTTGCTGTGTTGATTGTGGATACAATAAGGTAGCGGTGCAACATAGTAGGGTTTAAAGTATCGACATGTATCGGCTGATACATATCGTGCCAAGACCCTTTCGATACACCCACACAGGTCTAACCGGTTTAGGGGTAGAGGAGACCTAAATTGGCCCCTCTGAACCGGTTGCGAAAAAAATAAAAAAAGGGCCTGAAACACTGTATCGTTTCGCCTGATACGCCCCAATATGCCCATACTGGTGTATCGGGCGTATCAATATTTTGAACCTTACAACATAGGTAGGTGCAACTTGCAATTTTACATAGGTTGGGCTTGAATTTTGGTCCTCGGATTGGATGCGGGCCCAGAAATTAAACCTAATCTTTAGTAGTTTGAATCTAGCTTGACTATATACAATATACATATATAGATACACATTTGCATCCCTATACATATATACATTTATTTTGGGTACTGGGTGAATCAGGATTGAAACTTGACTTGGGATTATTCTCAAGATTGGGCATAGGTTTAGCCCAAACCCCACTTAGCCTACCCAACTTGCATCCCTATAACAAAAACAATGAAAAAGAGAAAATGAAGATAAATGATTCCCTTTTAGCGAGAGTGGAGGTGGAGCCAAATTTGTTTTTCCATTCTCTAATGTTGTTTTCTACTATTAGAGACAAAAAATAAAAGAGATGAAAGAGAAAATATAATGTTCCTATGTTGTTTTAGCTTTACTTTCATTTATATTTTCTCCTTTGGCCAAAGTCACTTTCATTCTTTTTATTTCTTTTCTTTTACTTTGCAACTAAGGCTGCGTTTGAAAACGATGCAAATAAGTGTGAATGCAAAAATATAGAGTGTAAAACGGTTCATATAAATTGCAACATTGGGTTAGTTTTGCACCGACAAATTTACCTTCTTACCAAACAGATTTTTAGCTGTAATGGATGCAAATATGAATTACAATAAAGCATATGCTTTTTTTTTTATCAAAAGCCCACTTAAATGCAAATTTACTTCTTTTTTATTGATGTACTTTTACATCTTATTATCAATGTAAATATGCATTGATCTGCCATTTGTCAATGCATAAATGTAATGCTGCCAAACACAGGCAAAAGAGAACCAAAGTGCAAATTTACCATGAACCGGGGTTTATACTCCATTTTCATTTGCATCGTTTCCAAATGCAGCCTAATGATATATGTAATGGGTCTCATGTGCACCATGTTGAGTTGGTCATAGGACATCATTTCTCACACATGTGGCCATGCGAGTTTAGAACATAATTTGGATGGATTCCCCACAGAGTGCACCCCACACGTGCCTCACAATTAGACCTGTTCATGGGCCGGCCCGACCCCCAGACGGACTTGAACATGCTTATAGGCCCGCGGGCTTAAATTCGGGCCAAAAAGCCCGGCCCATAATAAATTCGAGCCGGGCTCGGGTTTTGTCAAAATAGCCCGGCCCGGCCCGACTTAATATTAAACTTAAAATTAGTTATGTGATTATGTCCATTTGAATACATTTTTTGATTTAAGAATGTAAAAATGTGTTTTAAAATATAAAAGAAAGGGAAAAATACCATCTTGTAGGCCCATTGTTCATTTAAATAGAAAAAAAATACTATATGAATTTTTAATTCTAATTTGAATAGGGAAAATTATTTTTTTTTCAATTAGGTCGGGCTTCGGGCTCGGGCTTCGGGATTTTTACCAGGGGCGGGCTTGGGCCCAAGTTATAGGCCCATTGGTCGGGCCGGGCTTGGGCTCGGGCCTAGTATATTTTCATTAGTGACAAGTGAAAGCCTGGCCCGAGCCCGGCCCATGAACAGGTCTACTCACAATACATCACTCGTATTTGTCATGGGATAATGTTTCCATTGTATGGAGTGGATGTGCTTTGAGGCGCACTTTGTGGGGAGCCGTCCGAATCCTTTACACCATGAAATGGCAAGCTTTTCATGTTGCCTATTGTTCATCACCTTGCCTTTATGGATCCTAAATATGCTATCAATACAGCATTCAACATGATATGCATTTGGTTCTATTTACTTTTTTCATTAAACGTTTGTACATTATTTGTTTGCAAAACCGAGAAAAGTAATAATTACAACCATTTACAACAACTAGACACCACTAAGCACCACATCAGCGTAACAGTGAAAAACGCCAAACTGTTTGTAAAAACTTTAAAAAATAACTTCCTCAAGCGATATTCGTGCACAAAAACCAAAATCCACTTTTGTCATTCTTGATGCATACGGAAGAGCAAGAGAGGGGAACTGTTGAAGTGGCGTCTATGTGGCAGCATTTATTGAATAAACGCCCACGAAACCAAACAACCTCATGATCTATGATGACACATTTCAAACAGTATTGCCCTCTCAAAAGTGAGTTAAAATCAGCCCTCCATAAGGGGGCGCCCCACAACTGTCTTATAACACATCCTCTCCATGTGTTGGGAATATCTCCCGATGATATATGGGGCTAATTTGAACTCCTCAAAAGTATGACCAATCCCATCAATGACAACATAAATCATGTTTATTTTTATTATTTTTTTTTTGTAAAAGGATTATAAATTATGTTGAAGTTGTATTGGTAGCATATTTAGACTGGTGCTCCTTTGAGGGTCAATGCCACATCCTGTTTGGGAGGCTGAGCTGAAGTGCCCATTTTTGGGCAGACTTTCACTTAGCTGTGAAATCCATTTTCCAATGAAACTATTTTTGGTAGCTTCTTAGAAATGGCTCAATCAACGCCGAAGCCTGAAACCCCTCAAACAGGATGGAAGTTTCAAATGGTTCAACTGTTTTGAAGTGCTATAGCAAAGGTGTTCAAAGAGGTTGAAGCGGAAAACATCTCAAATGATTGATTAAGTTGATTTGGGCTCTCTAAATTTTTCATAGCTTAGAGGCTGTCCGTGTGATGAACTAGGCCCACCTTAGAAAGCCAGAACTCAGAAGTCACTATGCTTTAGCTATCCCAAACGTGTACAGTGTACTCGACTGATTTGAAGCATTTCGGATAAGCTATTCAAACAAGCTTGAAGCACATGGGCCGTGCCCTTGGGCCCTCCAGTTTCTTCACCAAACATGGCTCATGGCCTCATGGGCTGTCCGTGTGGGGCCCACCTGGCCCTTCAAAACGCAAACGGGCGCAAACCGCACAGTACCTTTTGAGTTTTGGCTGTGTTTGGTTTGAATGAAAAGGTGGGGTAGGTAAAGCCGTAAAGGAAGGAACGGGTCAGAGTGGCCCAATTTCGGGGCGAATATTTTGGTTCAGGTCCGGCCATGCATCAGCTCGGGATTGCCGATTCATCCCTGTCTCATTGACAAAGTCACGTGAGATGCACATATAAGGGAGAGGGTCAGCGAGTGGTCTTCTTCAACCTCTCGCTACCTGACCTCCACAACCACGGCGGAACCCAGCGACGGTCCCTGATCGCCAGATCTGTTCGCCGGATGGTGAAAGGTTCCATTGTTACAACACTTTGGCGGAACGAAGGAGGCCTGAAAGGTAAGAATTCTGAGATTTTAGCAATACTCAATCAGTAAAGCTCGTAAGTTGATGTCAGGTTGCGTTTTTCATGGATGAAATGAGAACCTGGAATTCTGATATCAAGATTTCAGGGTAGGACACATTCTACGATGATGCGTTTGGTCGACGCCATCTCCTTTTTTTCTGGATGCGGTTGTAAACTTGAAAGGGACATTTGATCAAATCGTCTGAATAAAAAAATGAAACGTTGTGTTTACATCAACGACAATGATTTATCTGAAGACCTTTACTGTGACAACCGCATATCAAACAGAAAATATACTGTACTGAATTTCCTTCCGAAAAATCTATGGGAACAGTTCAGGTGATTGTTGAATTGATGGTTTTCTCTGTCTTATTATTATTATTTTTTCTATTGAAGGTTAAAACAATTGATAGGAGGAGTTGGATGAAATACAGTTGTAGTCTCTTCTTTAATCCCTAGAGCAGTAATGTTTTACCTAAAATTCATCATAACATGCGTAGAGATACTTTTCACGTTCATTGTGTTAGTATTCTCTTTTCCTTCGGTAATTTTATTTCGACATTTTAGATTGTATGCCTTCATTGACTACTATATTGCTAGAGTGAATAACAGAAAAATATAATCACATAAGAATTTTTGTCTACAGAGACTCCCTGTTTACACTGCGATAGCTAATGATCCATCAAAAGCTTTTATCCCCAATGCAAACATTTTTTAAGGCCATAATTTGCCATATCTTTTCGTACTATGTTAAACCATGTCTCTTTTGGATTCCCTTCTGACTTTCTACAGCATTCAACCTGCACCAAATCACAGGCCAAAACCCCCTACCAAATAACATTGTCTCCCCATCTTCAAATTCTGGTTGAACCATTCCAAAATAAGATCCCCAATGTTGCCTTTTTTTGGGTTGTAAGTTCCTGGTGTATAGCCTCTAGTTGTACAGGGATTTTCTCTTTATTAATGAAAACTTTACTTCATCTTTTCTAAAAAAAAGATCCCCAATATTGTATAGTCTCCCCAAATCCTTTATTATCTTTATTAACACCAAGCTATTTATTATCAATAACAAAGATAAGTTGGACTAATCCAACGGCAAGAATACTTAAAAATCCATACCATGTTTTTAGTTTCATCTATTGGCAACTGTTGGTAATGGCCTTTTTTATTGACAACCATTAGATCGTTGTAGCTATCCATTGCACCAGGTTTGATCCCAAGAGCATATACCCAGACAGGACATGTACCCAACACCTGATCAATCATCCTCCTAGAATCTAATGCTCCTTCCATCTCCCACCTTGAATGAAACAAAGTTCAGAAATGCCAATTGGAAGCTCATGGTTCCTTCTATCTACACACAAATCCCATATGATGTCTTAATTTCCTTTCTATCCCACCCGGCACCCAAATTCCATCACCCCATACTTGGAAGTTGGAAGCCACCACCTTCCTCCATAGAGAGTTTCTTTCCTCTCCAAACCTCCATGGCCACATCCCCAAGAGAGTCTTATTAAAAAGTCTTATCCTTCTTATCCCAAGTCCATAATCTTTCTTATCCCTACACAACCATTACCATTGTACTAAATGGTATTTCTTCTCCTCTTTCCATTTTTTCTATTGCCTTTGCCACCAATTCTGGAATTTTAAGCAATGGCAGATAGTTCACTGGAAGATTAGACAAGACACTCTTTATCAATGTTATTTTTTTATCAGTAAAGAAGATTTATTAATTATGCAAATTAAAAGACTACAACAAGCTAGGAAAATTCAGCCATCCCATAATATAAAATGAGTTACATTTTGCCCAAAACATTTGTTGCCTATTAACCCCTTGTTTTGCCAGAGCATCCCCCATCCAAATTGCAGTTCTTCTCACCCACTTAAAAACAATAATTAGCTCTCGTGATAGGCTTTCAATTTCCCTAAAGTTATGCATGTAGATCCAAGGTATTTGATTATTGCATCTTGTCCAGGAAATGACCACCTGGGAGTTCCTGCAGCATCTTGCACGGTATTAATCACATGCCTTTTTAAAACAACCACCTAACTCTTATTTATAACCCTGGTTCCAATTTACAAGGCATCCCAAATTCCCTGTTGAGGCCAGCACATGACTTGAACGTGTAAGATGTTGTTTTGAGCCATCCATTTATGCTAAAGTCTATACCTGTTGACCTGCACATTTTGAGTCAGCTTGGGACATTAGAGAGGGCACCTTTGGTATCTTTCACTGGAGTTATAAAAACTTGTACTTATTTAGGGATTGGTTTGGGGGAATTGAAACTTCAAATATAATTTGACGTGGAAGAAGGGAGAACTGGCCTACCTAGCTTGATTATGAAACATTTGGAACTTGGAAGCTAATTTCTCTTTTGCAATTTGCTGACTTGTTCCCATTTATACTTTTAACATGTAATTTTCTTTCTTTTACTTACCAAATATATTTCATATGGAATTTGATATCCTAGTTTTTCCTGATTTAAGTGTCATCAAGTATTTTTATTTGCTTCTTCAATGAGTTATTATTCCGTTATTCCAAATATTGCTCTAATGTTTGCTTGGGTTTTCTCTAACCAAATTTGTTTCATGTTCCAGTCGGTTCATGAACCAATATTTTTTGCTGATTGCATGCCTTCAACTATGGCCCCTTATTACTCCAGTAAATCCTGCTAGTACGTGGGGTCCACTTATCTTTATCTTTGCAGTCTCAGCATCAAAAGAGGCTTGGGATGACTACAATAGATATCTATCAGACAAGAAAGCAAATGAGAGAGAAGTATGGGTTGTTAAGCAAGGCATCAAAAGACATGTATGAAAGCATTCTATTATTTTCTCTTGCATGGTTTTTCTTTCTCAATAATTTTGATAGAAAGAAGTTGCTACTTAAATTGGATTTATGAAGTTGGTATACATGCAATTTCTTTTTTTATCTAATCTCATACCTGTATGGCCAATATCTGTATATGAAAAATATTATTTTTTTTTATCAGTAACAAGAAATTTTATTAAAACTACTAATTTAAGGATTACAATCATAGATGAGAATTGATACCCAACCACCCTTATATTTTGTTTTGCATTCCTTTTACAGCTCTGCCCAAAAAAAGTTGTTCCCTATAGACCCCTTGTTTGGCTAAAGAACCAACCATCCCATTAGCAGTTCTCTTAACCCTCTGAAAGTGGCTCCTATTTCCACCACTAGCTTCTCAATTTGCCTTAATGTTTCCCGTATATCCATGCTCCTGAGTTATTGCTGGTCATCCAAGAGATAACCAATTTGAATCCCCTTCTACATCTACATTTTGCAATCTGGATTGTTTAGCTAGCCTCAGGCCTTGTAGTGGCTCCATTTCTTCAGCCTTTAAGGAATCTCCAAAGCCAATCAGGCCTGAAGATAGTGCCACCACCTTACCTTTTGCACATCCCTAACACACCCACAATCCCTAAAGGACCTGGAATGCCAACTGAGCTTCCATCAAAATTCAGCTTCACTTTATTATTTACTGAACAATTCTACTCTATTACTACTTTTGTGATATTGTCTTTAAACAAAGAGGAGTCTGCCACTTCTCACCATTGCTCTTGTTATATCATCCACAGAATGCACCTTAAAGGCCTGATTGGCTTTGGCAATTCCTAGTTGGAAACTTGGAATTATTAGTTGGCTTCTTGATGACAAATTCCTATACTACTCTCTTTTCATCCATTTTTTTCTAAAAGTTTAGTGACGGTATTATGAGTGCTGTAAACTGAACTAGTCAGTCCGGGGTCATTATGATGTAATTTGTTATGGTTGTACAATTATACAAATTCTGTTCTTACTTGACACTTTGGCTTTATTTTGGTCACTCAACTGAGCCTTAATCCCAACTATTTCATTCATAATTAAAGATTTAAACTTAATACATCTGTTGGAAAAATCCAAAACCCCTCAGTACCAATACAAGTATGCCCAGAAAATACTTTGTCCATCCCTGTTTAGCTAATGTATCTGCTACCCTGTTTGCAGTTCTTCTCACCCAGCTGAAGCTTGTATTCAAGTTCTTAGCAATCATATCAATCTCTCTAAACGCATGTCTGTATTTCCTTGGTGCTTCTTTGAGGTGCTTTGCCCAATGTATTACTAACTGTGAATCACCTTCAACATCCACATTTCTGAGGCCATGTTGTTGTGCTAATCTCAACCCTTGTAGCAGTGCCATGGTTTCTGCCATGATTGAATCTCCTATACCTGCTGGACCTGAATACAACACAACCACCAGGCCTTGGTGGTTTCTAATCACTCCCCCAATATCTGCTCTTCCCGGGTTACCCAGGGAGCTACCATCGAAGTTCAGTTTCAGCCTACTTTCAGTTGGTGGTCTCCAATCTTATCTTACCTCTTTAGGGTGGGTTCCAGTTTGTGCAACTTTAGGGCAGGCTCTGATAATATCAATGGTTGAAAAGATTCTGAAAGTCTCCAAAGTTTTTACCTAGTGTGCAGCTCGGAGCATGATAGCTTCCAACAGTTCCTCCTTTAATCTTCTCTTTTCATTAAAAATTCTATTGTTTCTTTCTTCTCAAATTGTCCACACCACAGCAGCTCTCACAGTCCTCCACATGATCTTTCCTCTTTTTTCCTTGAGCCTTGGGAAATTGGGGTTGAATAAGCTTACCACTTCTTGTGGAGGGGCCCATCTGCAACCAAATAGGAAACAAAAGTATTCCCAATACAGGACACAAAAAGACAGGAGATTAATAAGTGGGAAATGGATTCTCCACAGGCCTTACAGAGCGTGCACATGTGAGGAGATAGGCAAGTATTTGGCCTCCTTTTATGTAGCATGTCACTGGTGTTAACCTTGCCAAGAAATACTTCCTAACAAAGAGCTCGAACTTTGGGTGGGATGGGTTTAGACCGGATTTCTTTCATTGGGAAGGCCAATCCCCCAGAAGTGGAGTTAATTAAGAGCTTAAAGAAGCACAAGAGAAAAAGCCATCAGGGGAGGGTGTCCAAACCCTAACATCAGGTGAATTTTGGTCTAAGAACTCAGTCTCCAAAGATGCAAGCTAAAAAAATTATATATTGATCACCAAGTTTCAATTTTTTCATCTTGAGGTTATCGACGTGTTGCAGTTAAAAATTTTTGAGCTTATTTATTTTTTGTCTTCTTATCTTTGTGGTTTGCTTTAACTTATCATGGGAATTGCTTTGACTTACTAATTTATTCTACTAAAACATTTGACATGGAATTTACCTGCACTGATGATGTTTTCTTATTTTAGATTAAAGCTCAAGACATTCATGTTGGTAACATAGTGTGGCTTCGTGAGAATGATGAAGTACCGTGTGATCTTGTTTTACTTGGTACTTCTGAACAACAAGGTGTTTGCTATGTTGAGGTAATTATGAGATACTTTTTTTTTTCAATTCTATTTATTAGGTGTATGCTTTTGTTTATTATAGATCCTACACACTATAAATTTCCTTATTGATAAATAAAGGGCCTGTAGAAACACCACTTTCTAAATATTTGATGGGATTAGAGATAAACAACTTTAGTATGATAAAAAGTTAAAAATATTGGTTTTTCAAATGAAACAACATAATTAGTTGAGTGAGAAGGAAGAGTGATTTGATGACTTGCACTAAAAAAACTGTAAAATGGAGCAATGGGATTTGTACGAAAGGGGAGAAATGAGAGAGTCATGGATGAAGGATTTGAGTATGCAACAAAATGGAAGAATGAATCAAGGAAGTGATGGTAGAAAAAAAAGAAGTTCCTGTTTGAAGAAAGCAAGGGAGGAGCAGCTTTGAAGTTAAGAAGTTCCTGATGGCCTTACTGCAAGGCCCAAGACTAGCAAAGCGATTAGACATTTGAAATTTGGAAGTAGAGGGGGACTCAAAGTTGATCATCACCACTTGGGAAAAAGGTCTATACCAAGTCCCTTGGATTTACAGGCATGTCTTCAGAGAGATTGATTGTTTATCAAGGGAGTTAAACACTTCCTTCTTATGGGCAGGCCCAGAAGAACTGCAAATGGGATGGCGGATTCAGTAGCAAAACAAGGGGTTAATAGACATCAGCTATTTTGGCCACTGATGTAAATCTTATGCATTTGGATGGTTGTAATATCTGAACCAAATGTACTAAAATTCACTCGTTGAATTATATCTTCTTCTCTACTGATAAAAAAAGTTGAGAGAAGATATGAAATCCACAATTTTCTTATGGGCAGGCCCAGAAGAACTGCARATGGGATGGCGGATTCAGTAGCAAAACAAGGGGTTAATAGACATCAGCTATTTTGGCCACTGATGTAAATCTTATGCATTTGGGTGGTTGTAATATCTGAACCAAATGTACTAAAATTCACTCGTTGAATTATATCTTCTTCTCTACTGATAAAAAAAGTTAAGAGAAGATATGAAATCCACAATTTTCTTGGTTCAAGATGCTGCTAGTTGGTTTAAAGGATTTGTTGATGTTGCTGTCCAAGTGGTAAAAACCCTGGGATGGAGAAGCGGGTTGAGAAGAGATGGAAAGTGGTACATAATAGAGAAAAAAAGTAAATGACAAAGCTTTTTTTCTTGATGCTAATAGAGACATTTGGAAACGGAAGGAAGTGGGTTGTCCATGCCAGAAGGAAGGGAGAAATAGGTGGGTGGCAGTTGCTGAGGTTTTGGGAGGAGTATGAAGACAGATGCTGGAATAAAAGAACACCCAGGTTCTGCAAGAGCAGGATAAGCAGAAGAAAGAAATGCCGGACGTATCATTAGGTGGCTTTGCAACTGTTTCAAAACTTGTGTTAGGATGTAGTAAAGAGGACTGGAGTGAAAAGATGGTTGTGCCTTCTAAGAACAGAGGGAGTGACTAGAAAGTGGTTTTAGATGATATCATGAACAACATACAAACCAAGGAGACAGCTGACTAATTCCTTTTGAAGGCAACAAAGCTGTTCTCGATTTAGGGGTGTTTGAAGTGGATTTCATTACTTTGGAAACAAAGAGGGACTAGTAACAGTGAAATCCCTTGAGGGGAGTATGATCCTGAAGGTTTTTGGACTTCCTTTCAACTTGTAGGTGGAGCATGTTCTTGACAAAATTGCTGTTGTGTGTGGAGGTAACCCTTGACCTGCATCCAGTGAGAAATAAAATTGTAGGTGCTAACCCTAAGAGAGTCCCTCGAGCTCTTAATCTTTTGGCAGAAGGAAGATGGAGGAAACTTTGGGTGGCTTTAGAAGTTGAAGCGCCTTTGTGGTTAGGGAGGAGGAAGGTTGAAGACAAAGTTGACATGGTCTTGTGGAAGCTATGTGGCACAAAAGGAGCTGGTTGAGATGGTGAAAAGGGGAAAGGATTAAAGGAGGTAGACGAACGGGCACAAGGAGAATTAAAAGTTGCTAATCTTACAAAAGAGGAAAAGAATTTGAATTTTTTTTGAAATTAATTGCATGGATGGGATGGCTTGTTTTGTTGAAGTGGTGAAAGGGCAAAATAAGTGGAATTGGAAGGTGAGATCACAACACGCAATTGGACTGATGGAAAAAAGAAAGAATTGAATCAAAGGAAGGAAATGAGGTCGTACTGGGCTTTATTTTTGGGTTACATGAGAGTTTAAGTAAGCATGTCATTGGGCCTTATGTTTGACCAGCGGGAGATGATAGATGTATCATTGTCCTCCTCTGGGTTAACCAGGAAGGGGGGAAAAAGAGGATGCATAGGGGTTATATTGGAGACAAGTGATGATTTGTATTAGTGTCGAAGAGGAAGAGGAGGACTACAACGAGGAGACAAGTGATTTGGGTTGGATTCATTTAGAAGAAGAGGAAGAGGATAGCAGCTCAGATGATGAATCTAGTACCGAAGGCATGGATGTGATGATTTGTATTAGTGTCGAGCAAGATGAAAAATTTTACTTGGCTGAGCTCTTTAGCGAAGAAGGCTAGGTGGCTGAAAGAGAAACAGGCGCAAATGAGAGAGAGAACAGGAAAAACCACACAGAGAGGAAGTAGATGGCAATAATTTGTCCCAAGTGAAGCAGGGAAAACACAAGCGTTCAGAAGATGGAGAATTGCTAACAGATCAGGGACAGTGGCAGGGTGGAAGAAGGGTTGAGCCAAGATAAATGTATTCAGGTTTTGGTAAGGGTGGAAAGATTGGTAGTTGATCAAATTGTGAATAATGATGTTTCCTTGGATTCTTTCTATGAATTTTAGGCTATTAATGGGGGCGATTTTAGCAACACTCCAGAACAAGAAAGAGAAACAATTCAGGAGACTCCTCAATTCATCTCTTTTCCTCCAGGTTAGCCATGTAACAATGTGAATTTCCTTTTGGGTACTAATGAGTTATCTAATGCTTATGCAGATGCTCTAGACCTCCTACCCACTCTGGATGGGCCCAGAAGAAATGAGCAGGCTAGTAAGGATTTACAAGAAGAAGGGGAATTTGTAAGGGAAGACGAAGCTTGGTGGGTTAGGGTTAGGGAACATATAGGTGAGAGGAATGTTGCTTGTTAGGGAAATGGTTGTAGAGATTAGCTAAGGATAGAGACAAGCTGTAGGCAAAAGTTATCATCAGTATTCGTGGGCTTGTAGCTGATGGCTGGGATTCCCGGATTATGGTTAGGGCATCTAGAGCTTCTCCCTAGAAGTCCATTTGTGCAATTTTACCATCCTTCTTGCCATTTGTTAGGTATAATCCTTGTTCTAGAAATTTAGTCAAATTTTGGGATCATGTGTGGTAGGATAATTCTCTTTTGAAGGAGCAATTTCCCTCTCTTTATGCCATTTTTAATCATAAGGGTGAGCCTATTTCTTCTTTAATTGTGCCTTTTAATCCATTGTTTGGGTTTGGCTGGGTCTTGGGATTCAGGAGAGGGCTTCATGAGTTGGAAATGAGTGTTGTTGTATCTATTCACCAAAGGTTGGTTGGAGTTTTTTTTGGATCCCATTAAAAGGGACAGCTGAATTTGGACTATTACTTCTTTTGGGTCATTCTCTTGCGCCTCTTTCTTTTCAGACTTAGTTCATCTAGGGGATAGTCTTGGGACATCTTTTCCTATTAGGAAGGTTTGGAGCAGGCCTATCCCACCTCGTGTGGGTGCTTTTTGTTGGGAAGCCTATTTGGAGAGAATTAACACTTCCAATTTGCTTCAAAGAAAAAGACCAAATTGGTTCTTATCCCCTAACTAGTGTTTTCTTTGTAAGGTTGCTGGTGAGTCTTGCTACCACTTATTAATCTCCTGTCCTTTTATTTTGTCAATATGGGAATGGTTTCTCTCTTTGTTTGGGTGTAGGTGCTTGTTTTCCTCTATCTTTGTTAGTTGGCCGAAGAAGAGGGGAAGATATTTATGGAGATGTACAAGGGCGGCTGTTTGTTGGACAACATAGGAAGAAAAGAATCAGAGGATCTTTCTTGGTAAGGAGAGAAGTAGGGATTCCCTAATTGAAATCATTAAAATTAAGGTGATCCACTAGGTGAAGTATCTTGATCTTTTTGAAGGAATCCTTGCAGATTATTTGGTGAGGAATTGGAAAATTGCTTTTTTTTTTATTTTTTGATCAGAAAAGAAAATCATTTATTGATTTAAATCTGAAATTAAGATACAATACTTTTCAATATCAAAGTAGTTTACAATACTGCCCAAAATAAGGATGGTCTATTAGCTCCCTGTTTGGCTAATACATCTGCCAACCCATTAGCTTCCCTTTTAACCTAATTGAAAGAAGAGTTGAATCTCTTTGCAAGTTGGTCAATCTGTTTTAAAGGTGAACTAGCGGAGTAACCCGTGCTGAGCACGGGAGTTACACTCCCTGCTGATAATGTTGACACGTACAGGAACCATATTACCATCTTTCCATCTGGTCTTAGCGAGGGGCAAGTGCCCTTCTTCCACACCTCTTAAAGCTCGGCGGTGAGTAGCTTTAGAGATATTGTTGTTTCAGATCCTCGTTTCAATTAGGTTGGTGTAAGATTCTTGGGAGCGATGGGGATGGGGATTAGGGATAAGGGAGATGGGAATGGATTTGCAAACATGGCAATGAGGTTGCTCAACCCAAGTTACCCTTTCATTTCTTTTTGTTGTTGAAATTTTAAATTGGATAGGACAATGCTTAATGGTAATAAGGGCATTTAAGTAATTTTAACATCTCAATTATTGACAAGTCAAACAAAGGGAGATATTTGCACCTTTCTTCAAAATTAAGGGATGTTTTTGTTACAGTCAAAATATAGGGAAGGTTCATATGATTCTCAGAAAGCCAAGGGGAGGTTTCTATAGTTTACCCTTCAAAATATGAAAAAGATAAAAAAATCCCCTCTTGCTTCTTGAGTTTGGTTTTTGGATTTTTGCATATTTTGTCTTATATTGGTCTTGTTTTCTTTCAGAGATCTGGAGATTAGATTAGAACAGCTAACCTGAAAAAAAAAAGATTAGATCATCAAGATGAACAACTTACCGGTTACAACTATTCGAGATATAGAGAGAGAAGGGAGTGGAGGGGCTTTCTGGTAAAGTTCTGATAAAACTTTCCGGAGGATTTCGAGTTCCGGACGGGTGATTCAATCTCTGCAATTGATAAAGAAATTCCAAAGATTGCAACACATAAGGAATGGGGATTGAAAGAAAGGAGGCTATGATTGGCTCTCCTTTTTGTTCGACCCTTTTTCTTAAAAAAAAAAATAAAGGAAAAGAAGTGAAAGAAAAGCTTGCTTTCTTTTATCTCCCTTTCTTCCTTCCTCTAGGATAAGCGGCAACTCAGTTTCTTTTCTTTTCTTTTTAGTGTCATGTTTTAGAGTTGCCGGAGGTGCAGGAAAATCCCAGCATTATTTAAATCATGCCCCATCAGCCACCTGCTTAGACGGAAGCAGCAGCAGCAACAACTCTAGCATCAATGGCGGCAGCAGCAGCAGTGTATTTGCAAGCCTATTCGCTTCCTCAGCTGTTGAAGGAAGCTTGCAGCCACAGACTTCTTCCTTCTCAGATTTAATTTATGCCATGGCACACTTGGAGCGTCCGACCACTCTCTCTGCCGATTCTGCTGCGGAACCAACATCACTTTGTCTCTCGTCCACCTTGCTCTTTGCTCCAGTTGAGGCAGAGCGTTGGCAATTTACTCCGCCTCTGCAACCGGCAATGTCTGCCACCACGTGCTTCAGAAAGCAGAGCAGATGGGTGCTGCCGGCATGAATGCATCACTACTGTTACAAAATGACAAAAAGCATATGCAACCTCTCGCTATAGGCCTTCATTTGAGAAAAATTGGCACGCTTCAAATAAATTTACGTGCAGATACCATTTCCTACACGTAAAAAGGACCACGTTGCCTAGACCCCAACCCTTCCCGTTTTAATATATATATATATATAGATCTTAGCTTCCAAGGTGCTGACTCAATTTGCTTTGCCCATGTTATAATCAGAAGTGAGTCTCCTTCAATTTCCAGCTCTCTTGCCCCCAGCTGTTCTGCAAGCTTCAGTCCTTGCCATAGAGCCTTTGGTTCAGCTTGGGTCGAGTCTGCAAACTCGATTAGTCCTGAGAACAAGGACAACACCACTCCATGATGGTCTTGAAAGACTCCCCCTACTCCTGCTCTTCCTGGGTTGCCAAAGGAACTCCCATCGAAGTTTAGATTCAGTTTATTTGTCCCTGGTGGTTTCCCCTCCACTCTTATAGTTTCTCTATGTGGTTTTCGAAGGATGTTGTTGTTGATTAGAAAGTGGTTTTCGAAGGAAGAATCATTGCTGTCTACTCGGGATTGATTGGTGTTGGAGATTTTTCGAGAACTGAAATAATGGCTGTGCTGAAAGGTCTTCAAAGGGATAGAGAGATGAACATTCTAAAGCTAGTAATTGAGGGGACTCAAAATTATCGAGTGGTTGAAGAAGGAAGAGGAGGCTGGATGGTGGTGCTATATTAACGAAAAAAGGAGTACTTGGTTGTTTTGGGGAATGGAAATCTATGTATAATGGGTGAAAAGGAATGCTGATTCATTCGCTGATACATTAGCAAAGCAGGGGGTGGGAATGGATCATTTATTTTGAGCTGTACTGTAATTTTGTTGTTTGTATTTGGGAGAGTTAAGAGAATTTCTCTCTCCCCTTATCCCCTTTGTACACTTTCTTTATTATTAAAATAAATCAATTTCTGTTATTCATCAAATAAATAAATAAAGGCCCCAACCTTCTGTGATAGGAATGTAAGACATCTAACATCATACTAGCTATTTGAAGTAATGCAACTACGAGATAGACAAACATGTTGAGAGTTTAACATTCTTGAACGCACAAAACACTTCGATATGATTCACGTTTGCTTGCTTCCACTTTCACTTTGAATTTGTTTTATATGTTACACTTATTTTAATATGAACTAGTATGCTTTTTAAAACATTTAATTTATTGTAAAGTTTAGTTTTCCATATTTTTATGTATTAATGTTATTTATTTATCTATTGATTTATTTTTCAATTTATTTTTCTTGCTTTATTCAGGAGAGCCTTGCTTTGTGCTCTGGGTGCTAGAAGGTCCTTGCACTTTTCTTGGGCCTCTTGCTTTTAAAATACCGTGAGGACTCAAATTGAGAGAGATTTGAGTGGTTTTTCAAGGAGAAAAGGATCAGAAAATGTTAAATCTAAGGAAATTCTTGACAGTTCCTAAAATAGAAAAGGTGAGGCAGCAATGTTGCTAGCCTAATTCTCTGTAAGTTCGTGTAAATATATTTTTATGCTTTTACCCTAAAAAAACAAAGGAAATTGGGAATAAAAAGCGGGGGGGGGGGGACTTAGGTTGTGTGGAGGGTCCCAAGGAGTGATTCCTCTTTGAGAGCTAAATGAGATGCTAACCCGAAGACCTTAATTAAACCTGTAATAGAAAATCAGAAGTAAATTTACCAAATAACATAACTACCAGACTAGAGCCCATTACATTAGTTAAATTTACCAAAATACACTTAAAATTGAAAATTACTTAAAAATAAAAGAAACCAGAATACTCCTAGGTTGATTCCAGGAACATCTTGGTGCCCACTTCACATCATGTATTCCAATGCTTGGCACTCTAAGAAATTGCTTGAAATCCGAATTGGCTGTTAGTTTCTTGATACTTAAAGAGTTGATCATAATTGCAGACTGCGGCTCTTGATGGTGAAACTGATCTGAAAACCCGGACTATACCAGCTGCTTGTATGGGAATAGCTTCTGAATTGTTACACAAAATCAAGGTATATTAGATCTGTTAGAGTAATTTTGTTCCTTTATGATTGAGAATCTGAGATATTAGTTGATATTTCGTTTTTCATATTACTGTTTTTGATCTTTATATTGTTTCTCTCATTGTTAGGGTGTCATTGAGTGTCCGAATCCAGATAAAGACATTAGAAGATTTGATGCAAATTTGAGATTGTTTCCTCCATTTATTGATAATGATTTTTGCCCCTTAACCATCAACAACACTTTACTTCAATCATGCTACTTACGAAATACGGAATGGGCATGTGGTGTAGCTGTTTACACAGGTAATATGTCAAAGTAATGATTTGAGAACGTATCATATCACTGATGTATCCATACAGTTAATTTTATGTTGTCTTGAGATGACAAAATCACTACTCAATTGTACCCCAAATGCACTATCTCAGAGTACATCTTGGTGTATAATGGGACACCTTTAATCAATAACAGAACAGATATGCTAATGAAAACAAAAGCAGAAAACATCATGAGATAACAACCCCTATAAGGATGGTCTTCAGCCAAACTACCAAGTGCCCTAAACAAAATATAAGTGCAAATACGAGAACAAAACATCTAGCCTGGGATCACTGAACCTTAGACAAATAAATCCTAAGCACATTTCTGCGAAGGCTATAAGTTCACTATAAAAGCCATCTGGATGAGCTGTTACTTTCTTGAGGCCAAGGTCCTAGCTTCTTTTGATATGGTGGTACATTAACAGGAGGCCATCAAAGCCATCAATTCATCCAGGCCTATAAACCTGGAAAGGAAATTCTACTGGTAAACTGTTGTTTACAATGGGTGTGAAGGGTATAGTTGATAATCTGTGTAGTTTTGGGGTGGTTAAATTCACTGGTAGAGCTTGAAGATCCTGAGCATTTGTTTTTTCTTTTTAATTTTCTTTTTGATTGGTAACAACAGAATTTTATTAGATAATAATAGAATTAATTAAATACAAAGTATGCTAATTGCTATACATCCCCACTGTATAGTCTAGCTCAAGCTACCTATCCCTTTTTTTAGAACTTAGACTACACTAACCCAAAATCCCCCTAAAAGAACTTTGCCCTGTTAACCCCTTGTTTGGCCATAGCATCAATCAAAGCATTTTTTAATCTATTTATTCAATGAAATCTTGCTTGTTCATAGTGTTTTGGTACTTTCAGGAATCTTGCTTGTCGTTCTTCAACCAACCCACTACTACACCAGAGTCCCTCCTCAACGTGACTTTCCTAACATTTAATGATCTTTCTAACCTTAGACCTTGTAATACTTCTAGCATCTCTTCCCATGTCGAGTTTCTATAACCAATGGCAACTGAGTTTTTTTATTGGAAACAGTAACATTCAATTAATAAATATAGATGTTACAACAGTCAAAACACCCAGGACAAGAGTGCTGAAATCAATTAGAAAGGAGTCCAAAAGAGCTTCCCCCTATTTGTCCCTTGTTTAGCTAAATTTTTGGCCATCCCATTGGCTGATCTACTCACTTGAAGCTGACACCAATTTCCCTTGATAAAAGAAATATCTCCCTCATGACCAGATTGTGGGTCCACACCCCCGAAATTTCTTGTTTGCATTCACCCTATCACTAGCTTAGAATCACCATCCACTTCTATCTGTTGAAACCCCAATAGTGTATATTGCCAAGCATCTATGTTTCTTTTACATTCATTTGGGTATAAGATACATCATACTATCAAGAGTCAAGTAGATTTCCCATTTCTCATTTCTCTATGAGTATAGATATGTAAGAGTTGTAGATCCCACCTGCAATAATCTAAAATAAAGAAAAGAAAAAGACAGAAGAGAAGAAGAAGATTAAAGAAGATGGGAGAGAGAAAAGTAAAGGAGGAAGAAGATGGAAGAAAGGGAAGGAAGAAGAGAGAGTTCTAAACCTCTTTTCAGCCCCAATGATCTCTTTTATTCTTTTGTTGTAAAAAATAAGGGCAATTACATGAGTGCCCTTAGTAAGGCATCCGTCCCTGAAGACAGCAGTGAAAAACAATAAAAAAAAGAGAAAACATACCCATAACTAAGGTGCACTACCTACTAATACAAGTCATAAGCAAACATAAAGAAAAACAAAGAAACTAAGGCCCATTTGGCCCATCATCTCTACACCTCTCAAGCTATGCATAGATATCAATCATGCCTGGCTTGCTTACACAATGTTGTAACTTTGCCTTGGGGACAACCTTGGTCAAAACATCTGCTAATTGTTGCTCTAAAGCAATAAAAGGACGGCAAACTTCTCCACAAGCTACCCTTTCTCTTATAAAAATGCCAACCAACTTCAATATGTTTTGTCCTGTCATGCTAAATTGGGTTGTGAGCTATGTTGATCGCAACTTGATATCACAATAAAGCATTAAGGGCTTATCATGTGTAATATCCATCTCCTCTATAAGTGACTTAAGCTATAACAACTTTAAAAACTCCATGTGCTATTGCCCTGTACTCTGCCTCAGTCGAAGACTTGGTTACTATTGACTAGACCTGTTCATGGGTTGGGTAGCTTGACGGGCCAAACTGTTCTAAGTCGGGCTTGGACATTATTTTAGGCCCGTGGTATTGAGCTCAGTCTCGGGCCTAAAACACCAGGCCCAACCTTTTTCTAGGCTGGGCTCCGGCTTTCTCAGAAAAGCCTGCCCAAGCCTGGGCTCGACTTGATAATATATATTATATAATAAAAAACATATTTATTTAATAAAAGATATATATATATATATATACAATAATTTTCTCACTTTTTTCAAGTAATAGTGAAATCTCCTATTATTTTTGAGTTTTGAGGGCTGTTATGATTCGGCCTGCCTTAGAATTCTATCTGTCTGAGATCAGTTAGGTAGAAAGAGGTAGAAAGGTGGAAGAAAGAGAAAAAGAGAGAAGGGGAAATTCTGGTTCGAACTGGAAGTGTCAACATAACCTCCTCCCAGTCGGCTAGACAAAACTTATATTATTAAAACTAATTGAAAAGATATATGTGCCCTTATTCAAGTTAGGAGCACTGGTTCCAACACAACATTACAGATCAACAACATTAATCTAGGTAAAAAGACAAAAATACCCCTACGCTAACACTCCCCCTCAAGCTGGTGAGTATATATCATATACTCTCAGCTTGTTACATATGTAGTCCACTCTTCCCCGACTCAAGCCTTTTGTAAATAAGTTAGCCCATTGATTTCTTGTATTAACATGTGTAGTGTCTAGTTCTCCATTCAGCACCTTCTCCCTTACAAAGTGGCAGTCAACTTCAATGTGCTTGGTTCTTTCATGAAACACCGGATTAGAGGAAATATGAACTACAGCCTGATTATCACAATAGAGCTTCATTGGAGTGTTAATGTTGTACCCTACTTCCTGTAGAAGGTTCCTTAGCCACACTAGTTCACAAGCGGTGTGTGCCATAGCCCCATATTCTACTTTTGCACTGCATCTTGCCACAACCGTCTGCTTCTTACTTTTCCATGTCACCATGTTACCTCCCAGGAAAGTGCAATAGCCTGTTGTAGACCGCCTATCAGACATAGAACCGGCCCAGTCAGCATCAGAATACCCTTCTATTTCATGTTTTCCGCCACTCTTGTATATCAGACCGTGACCCGAAGCCCCTTTTAGATACTTCACAATTCTCGGAACTGCATTCCAATGAGGAATCAAAGGTTTTTGCATGAACTGGCTTACCACACTAACCGCAAATGAGATGTCTGGTCTAGTAATGGTTAGGTAGTTCAGTTTGCCCACAAGTCGTCAGTATCTGCTAGGGTCTTCAAACACTTCACCCATATCACTGCTTAGCTTGGTATTTGTGTCCATGGGTGTTTCAGCTGGTTTGGCACCCAACAAG